AGAAACCCAAACCAAACAGGGCCAGAGCAGGGCACAGAAACCCAGCAGAGCTCCTGATCTTAACTCCATCCTGGAGCTTCCAGCAGGGCTTACCCAGCTCCTGATCTAAACTCCAGTTGTAAATAATTGCAGGTGAAATATGCACCCTTAATTATTGTTTTGCTCACACACCAAAAACAAACCTGCTGGCATTTGATCTTTCTCTTGTTTTTGTTACACAGCACAACCTTCCCACTGCACTGTGCACAGACCTGGCACCCTTGGAGCCTCCAAAGGAGCACCAGGGCCAGGGAAAGGCCCCAGTTTCCATGTCCAGGTGAGCGTGCAGACCCTGCAGGAAGGCAGGAGCAGCTCTGGGCAGCTCCCTGTCCTGTGGAAGTGCCACAGGGATGTTTTGTGCAGAACATCTGGGATGCTCTGTGCACAGATGTGCCCACAGCCCTGCCAGCAGCTCCCATAGGGACAGGGCAGCTGTGGGGCTGAGCAGGGAGCTGAAGCTGAAGCTGCTGCTCTCCTCAGCCCCAAAGCCTGCCCTTTGCATCACACACAGCTTGGGCTGGGTGCGTTCCCAGTCACTCCTGCCAGAATTCTCCGCTCAAGAGAGCAAATCCCCTCCGTGCCTTCACCTCCGCTTTGCCACAGTCCCTAATTAAGGGGGTGCTGCTCAAGAATGAGCACTCACAGCCACGCTGAGGCAAGGGAGACGTCTCCTGTTCCTCTTCACAAGGATAGGATTTCTAAAAATTCACTGTAGTAATCACAAAGAGCTGCTGCAGAGAATTACTTGAGAAAACCTTCTGAGATTTCAGCCTACCTGGTCCCTTTGTTTCATAACTAGATGGAGCATAATGAATGCAAAATCTCTGTGAATAGAGCTCAGCAGGGCCTACTTTTTTCTCCTGGCTCCTGTGATAATAATAATTTGATTTTATAGGTGTCTATCCTCAGACCCTGGCGAGGGAGCAATCTTTACTGAGTCATGAACTTTCACATCATTAAATCCCTCTACATTTATTTTAAACATATCAGAAGTGTCAAGTAACTTTAGATCCACTAAATTTTATGTGCTCTGGGTGGAATGAAGTTTGGCCACCGGGGAAAAGGAGGGGAATAGTTTCCAGAGCAGCTGGGGAGGGATTTGGGAGCAGAGCAGCAGGTCCCCTGCACAGGACGAGTGAGCACAAGGACAGGAACCTGAGTAATCTCCTCCCAGGCTGAAGGGAATATTAAACTCTTCTGTCAGTTGGATCTATATTATTTATGGCCCTTTTTTTATTGTTGTTGTTGTTGATTTCAAAAAATATTTCTTTGTTGGTGCAACGCTGACTCCCGATAGAAAGTGATGAAATGCCCAATATGTTAAAAAACCTTATCACTAAATCAGAGGCAGAACTATAAATTTGGGCTTTTGAAACTGAACTGACTGTTGAGGATCATTTTGCTCCTGAAATATTACAGCAGTGATCAATTTGCTGTAAAATTAAGCAGTTTAGCTCTGCAATCTATAGATGGAAAACATGTTGTTCTTGAGCAAAGTTTATGCCCTGCCCAAGGGATAAATTAAATTTTATGGGTAAGACATGCATTATTATACGCTTATCTGTTTAACATATCATTCTTTTCCACATCAGTATTATAAATATTTTTAATCATACATTTGATCTCTTGTGCCTATAGTGATATGGTAATTCCCCCTGCCCCCCTCAAAAATACAACCAAACACAGCCAATTCATCACAGAATGTGGGAGAATATTCTAATCTTCCCCAGAAATGTGCTGAAGAGAAACTGAGCTCTTGGAATTGGGGCCACTTTGCAATCACTGAGTGGGATATCATTTTCCTGAAGGAAGGGGTGGAAATGCATTCCCCACTTTTGTTACAGGTGTTATTACTGAATATTTATCTTACAAGGCTCTAATCAAAACTGGGGGCTGCAGTCCAAGACAATTCAGTCTCAAAAGTTTGGCAAAGTGGTGAAATATGTCCATTTAGCAAACCTGTTAATAATGGTTTTATAGATTTCTGCTGGTTTTCCTTGAATTCTCCAAATGGGAGTCAAAGCTGTCAGACTGGCCACAGCCCTGGCTTTCCAACAGCGGGGAGGGTGTGCAGAAATGGATCTTCTGAGGCAGGAGGGGAAGCTGTGAATCCTCAGAGGAGAGAGCAGGGAGAGCATCAAAAAAAACCAACAGGGAGAAAAAAGTGTCTTCAAGATGAAATCACGCACCTGTGGAGAAAGCATTATTATTTATATTACAGATCCATTGTAAATTTACAACTGAACACATCTGGAATTTCCCCCTTGTCAAAGCCATCCTACAGGAGCTGCTCCATGCCCAGCTTGGGGAACCTGGGTCAGGACAAAGCTGAATTACTGCAGCAGGATGCTGGCAAAGCCCAGCCCAGGCACTGAACTCAGCTTTCACTGTCCTGGATTCGGGGCTGAGTCCCCAGCTGGGACAGCAGAATTCCTTCAGCCTGCTCCTTGCCTCCTGCAGGAGAGCCAGACAAAGGAGGAGGTTCCAGGCCCAATATCTCACACAACTCATCTACACTTGATTATTATTTGCTTCTCACAGCCTGAAAAGAATCCCACTCCCAGATTTGTCTGTCTCAGCCCTGCTGAAGCTCAGGGTTTCATACATATGTATGGATAGCTTAAGTTTTTATGAGCATAATTTGGGCTTTTCAAAATAGTGACACAATAACAAAGCAAAATTGAGACACGCATGTAATTTGAATACTGATTTGGTTTTATCTTTTCGTGGTGCTGGCACTTTTGATGCTGCTCTTTTCCACCCCATCTTCCCTCTGCTCTTATTTCCCAAGGAATGGAATGAGTTGGGAGGGCACCAAAACCAAACCCAAAATCGAACACAAAACCAAACCCAAACCCAAACCCTTCTCCATGACCTCCCTGGGATGTTGGAGATTTGCTGCTCTCTCAGAGTTTCCCATCAGCTCTCAGAGTTGTGGTTTTGATGCTCCTGTCACACAGGGACACCTCTGGCAGGTGGTTCTGGCTCCATTCTCTGCAGATCCAAAGCACAAGCCCTGATTTTCATTTCTGCATTCTGAGGGTGCTGCAAGGACTTTGCTGGTTGTGTTTAGGGTCCAACAGCCCCAGAGGTGTTTGCATCCCCCTGCAGGTGCAGGACAGCATCCCCAGGTGAGCAGCACAGGAGCCAGGGCTGTGGCTGTGGCACCTGCCAAGCTCTGAGAAGCAGAAATGCTGAGGCTCTGACCTCTCTCCTCACCCTTTTTTGAGGTTTCCGAGGCAAACCCCCAGCCCTGTCACACCTGAACAGCAGCACAGAGGCCCCTCAGACAGATCTGAGCACTTCTGTGTCGCGGAGAGTCTGATCCTCAAAATTATTCATTAAAAATACCCACTTAATAATTTCAAAGAGAAAGCTGAAAGATGCTCAGGGGCAATCTGTGAACAGAAAAAGGGGGTTAAATTCACCTAATAAATTATTTGCAGACTGAATAATTCATGGGAAATCCAAGGCACATTTAGAGGGGTTTGATGGGGGCTGTCAGCTCCTCTGGAATGGGAAGACACCTCAGAACCTGGCATTTTCTGAGGCACCATTCCAGTACAGCAGAATTTCCACCTGGAACCAGACAGAAATGAAAATTAAGATCTAAGACCTTTCTGGATCTGTAAACACTGCGTTTCATCTCGTGGCAAAGGGTTAAACCCAGCACTAGCACTGGGTTTATTTTAACTGGGGATAAAGTTTCCAAGAGGTCCATGAAAATACGCTGAGGTTTGTCCAAATGCAATGGAAAACCTGGAATTTTAGTGCATGAAGCAGGCAATGAAAGCAGCACATGAAACTTTGTAAACAGAGGTGTTAAAACAAATTTAATAATAGACTTTTTAAACTCCCAGATCACTGTCAAAGTATATATGTGTTAAAAGACCTATAAATATATTTTAAAACAATCTATTTTCCTTTCACTTAGCTGCCAAGATCTCCATTAGGAGGTTTGTGTTTCCTTCCAACATTAAAGAATCTCTCTAACATCTGTAGCGATGAGCAGTGAAGAGTGTCAGCTCTGCTTCTGAAACAAGCAGTGCCACCATCTGAAGGAGGAAAATGTGAAATAATGAATATGCTTCTGCAGATCAGGCTGCTGTGTGTGCCAGGGGATGTGCAAAGCCTCGTGCCAGGCTTGATCTCCAGATTTCCCCTCTCCACCTCTAAGGAGGGCAGGTAAGTATGTAAAACTTGGAGAAGGCATTGCCCAGAATGTGAACCCTGGCACAGAGAGCCACAGAGCACTGCAAGGGATTGGCTGGGCTGGGAGCTCCCCTCCTTCAGGGACTGGGCTGGTTTTGGTATAACCAGGACAACCTGGCAGCCACATCCATGTGTTTGAACTTTACAATGTGAGCAGATTAACTTTCATCAGATGTGGGACCAGGTGTGATCATTTACTGACCCAGGTGTGGATCATTTACTGATATATTGCTTCCAAGGACTGTGCTGGGTGTTCCCTTCCTTCCAGGAGTCGGGGACAGAAGGGGATCCCAGCACAACACGAGCCAGTCTCAGCAGCCACGACTTCAAAAATTATCTGCTTTTTCTCCATGAAGGTTCCTAGGCCCCAGGACAGCAGCACTGGATGGGGGTTCAGGAGGTTTGGGAATGTCTTTATTATGTTATTGGGAATGCTGCTATTATTATTATTATTATTAATTATTATTATTACTATTACTACTATTATTGCTATCACAGAGTGACCTGCAGTGAAAGGGACCTGAAAGCTGCACCCCTGTCACGGCAGGGACACCTTCTATTTTCCCAGGCTGCTCCAAGCCCCAGTGTCCAACCTGACCTTGGACAGTGCCGGGGATCCAGGGGCAGCCACAGCTGCTCTGGGAGTTCTACCCTATTCTATTCCTATTCTATTCCTCCCCACCCTCACAGGAATAATTTCCTCCCAGTCTCTGAAATAAACCTTTTCTCTGGCAGTCTGAAGCCATTCCCCCTTGTCTGTCACTCTCTCCATGTTCTTTTAGGCTCCCTTCAGGCACTGGAAGGTGACCCCAAAGTCTCTTGCAGCAGCTTTCCCCCTCAGGAAGGAAAGCACCCCATTTCTGAGGTAAATGGCTGGATGTGGGAGTGATGGCCAAGAGCTCAGACACTCAGGGACAGGAAGCTTCTCACTGCTCACAGTAACAAACACAGCACTGAGAGCAGCTTCACCTCAGCACAGGCAGGACTCACCCCCACAGGTGCCTGCAAAGGAAAATCTCTGATCTAGACCCAAAAACGCCACAGGAGCCCCTTGGCCAGCAGAGCTCACAGACCTTGCTCCTCGCTTTGAGAACAAACTGCAGAGCAGCCCTGTGGGGTTTGGGCTGTGTGAATGGTGTGCAATGCTCAGGAAACACAGCTGATAAATGCTCGTTCTGCCTAAAACTGCAGCACATTTACAGCATGAGGGTCTGCACAAATATCACATTGTTATTGTTATTATTATTATTATTATTAGTAGTAGTAGTAGTATTATTAGTATTAGTATTATTAGTATTATTAGTATTATTAGTATTATTAGTATTATTAGTATTATTAGTAATATTAGTAATATTAGTAATATTAGTATTATATATCACATTATTATTATTATATTCCCAAATTTTACACTGAAAATTGCAATTATGCACGGAAATGTCTCTTACTTAATCTAGACAGGGTGTCCTGCCCCTTCAGCAGGGGAGAGAGGGCATGGACTGCAGTGAGACTCAAAAAGAACCAATTTTAAACAAAATCTTTGGTTGCATTTAATCTCATCCTATCTTACCTGGCTGGACTTATCATTTCAGCTGCCCTGAATTGGAGAGTTTTATACCCAAATGCACAGCTACCATGATGAGAGTGTGGGGATGTAATTTATAAAGACATAGGGGGATTCAAACCACGACATTTGCAAATCTGAAGATTTTTAAAAGCTGGTTCCCAGGGCTCCTGTGTCAAAGGCAGAGGTTCAAAACCACAGTGGTTAAAAGGAAGATAATAAACTGCTCACTACTCGACCTTAACTACAAGGAAGAGGGAAAATCAGTGTTAATCTTGCTACACAAACCTTAATCTATTTTATTTTTTGCTTAGCTTTCCTTTTTTCAGCATCCATATCATTTTATATATAAGATATGCAAGGGTTTACATTTATTATCTGTACATATGATCAGCCCAAATTGCTAATTCATCCTTAATTTTTTTGGTTCGAGTTACACACTCCGTGTTATTTTAACATAAGGCTTTTTTGTAATGTAATGATATTTAATTTGCATTAGCACAAGTGACATACAATAGATCATGCTATTATCATGATTGATATCAGATGAACTGGCATAAATTCAACGTTATAAATTGAGCCTATAAATGAAACTCTGATTTTACAGGAATTACTGGAGTAGAAAGGCTAAGGACCCTCAAGTCAACCTTACTCAAACCCACTCTTTAGAGCTTTATATGTTTTATGCCTGCAATAAATGCTTTTGTGAAAGCCCATAACCTGCAAAAAATATAAAAAAAAGTCATTGGAAGTCCATTAATTATAATAATCCCATCCAAAAAGCTGTGAGGGCTTATTTTTGTGACATCACTCTTTGATTTCTTACTGCCTTAAATTATCCCTTTGTTGGCTGGGTGAGGGTAACAGTCATACTTTTGTCATTAAATATAAGGAGTTTTAAAGCCTGATCCAGCCCAGCTCTAATTGATATTGCTTTCATTTGGCAGATAGTGACCTGATTTATAATTTAAATATGCATCATTATATGCACCTCTTCTGTATAATGAAAAAGTGAAGTTACTCTCATCTTCTCCTGCAATGTTAACATCAAGGAAAAGTATCTTCCTTTTTTCCCCTTTTATACTTAGAGCCTAATTGAAAACTGTTCATTGAATTTCAACATGATAGAAAAGTCTTTTTATCTCTCAATTTGTCCATTAGCTATTATAATTGAAGTATCTGCTCCAGTGCTGAATTGATATTGTTCTTGTTTAAATTGGGGATTTCTCTGAATCCTCCACGAGGCAGCAGCGCCAACAGAAAGTGGGGTTGTGAGGAAGGAGTGGGCCCTGGAAGGGTCCTGGGAGCAGCAGTGCCCTCGTGCAGAGCGAGAGCTTCTCCTGGAGAACGTGTTGCATAATAATCCCACCAGCATGGCCAGAAGGTTTGCTAATTGCCACATCTGTTCAACAGCTGTCAGATGTTTGCCATATGCTGCCATCAATATTACAGCAGAGTGCATTACAGGGAGTTTTATTGTGTTCCACTGTTATTTATTTGCCACAGACATTACCACAGCCAGTGACGTCTGTTGATGTTAGATCACTAATTATATTTTAGGAGCTGCATGCAAAATCCAGGGGTTTCAGCCTCCTCAGCCCCCATTTCTGATGATGTCAATGAGAACGTTTCCCCTACAGATCTCTGAGCTGGTTTATGAACTTCTAGCTCTTCTCATGGTAAATAATTCTTCTGCAAAATAACTTATTTATGTTGTTTTTGAAGGATGTTTCTAAACCCACGTTATGTTTTAATGGTGATGCTCGTAAAAACTCAACCTTCTTTTCCAGAACCCGCTTAATTCCATGGTTTTTTCCATCAGGGCGCAGGTCAGGGATGGAGGAGAATTCAGCTTGGCAGCTCAGAAGGTTGATACCCCAATTCTGCTCCCAGACCTGGCACTGACTCATCGCACGGCCTCGATTCTCGGTGTGACCCTGATTTCCCAATGTGTGAGCCAAGGCCCTGCTGTGCCCTCAGCGCTGCTCCTGGGCCAAGGGAGGGGTGGGCAGCACCTCCCCAGCCCCCAGTCTGCCTGGTTTGCTGCTCTTTTCAGCCTTCTCGCAGGGATTTTGGAGACAACTCTTTTCAAGTGACTTTTTTGTCACCACGGCAGGGAAAGAGGAAGCAGAGATTGACAATGTGCAGACGAGGCAAAATCTGCATGATGTGATTTAATGTGAGTTGATAGGTGTCACTGATCTCTATTATAAATAGACTGTGTGAATTCCATATGATGTATTATTTATCTGTTGTAGATGCCTTTTTGTTTCATTAATAAACCTGGAAATCAGACGTATACATTTCCAATGATGAGATTTTGGCAATACAAGGCATTGTGACATTTGTCTGCAATTGCTCAATTATTTTGATGATTTTCTTCTTCTTTCTCTATAAATGATTAATGCTTGAGATGTTTGTTCAAGATTCTCCTGATTTTAGCTCATTTGTCCAGCTGAGTTCTTTTTTCCTCCTCTAATTAGGGAAGATTATTGCAGTGTAAGGGCTTCCAGTGTGACCTGAATTCCAGTTCCTGGGAGGTGCTGCACTGGAACACACGACAGGGCCCTGGCTCAGGTCTGGGGGGTCTGGGACATGCAGGAAATCTCACATTAACCATGAGGTTTCCATTTAAATCTGCCTCAGAGCAGAAACTCCTCTGCTGTTATTCTACCTACGCTTGAAAACATTTCCATGGTATTTCTGTGCTTGAGAAAGTTCAGAAAACACTTTGCTGTTTACTCAGATAGCAAAGGACTTGAATTTCTCCCGTTTCTGCAGAGAACAATAAGCAGCTGCTGGAGCCTTCCACTCGTGCTCTCAGAAGAAGCACAGGGAGATCTCTGACGACACGACAGGGCAAAGAATGGTGAGGAGAAGGTGAAGCTGGGGGTTGTTCCAGAGCCCAAGTGTCACAGCTTGGGGTCCCTGGGAAGGAGGGCAATGGGGCTGGGGGCTCAGGCTGCAGGAGCAGGAGGGGCTCAGCTCCCACGAGGAGAGGAGTGCCCAAATGCCTCCATCAGTAATGTGAAATTTGTCTGCCTTCTGCATTTGATCTCCTCATTTTCCTCTTCTATGCCTTTTTAATGCTGTTTGTAGCCATTTCAATTATGCGATTTCCTTATCTGTGTACCATGGAGAATACTGTACAAGGCTTTATAAACAGCTCCTAAGTTTATCTGCCTGTCATTTGCTTTTCATTATGTGAGATAACAATCTTCCTCATATCTTATAAGAAGATAGAATGTGATTGTTTCGAAATGGGGAGGGGGAGAAGAGTCTGCTCTGCATTATCCTCAGCCCCACAGCATTTGTAACGTCACCAGTGTCAGCACAATCTCCAACATTTTTCCTTGCTGTGGTCCAGGAAGAATTATCTCTGTAGTTTCTTGTGCTTGCTGCTATCTCCTCTTTTTCTCCATTTCAGACACAGTGAGGTTCTTATCTGGAGCGTGGTTCTGCAGCTACAGATTTGCCTGAATTCAGTGAGATCGCTCCAAACCCTTTGGAGGAGCTCGAGCACCGAGGGGAAGGGTGAGAGGCAATTGTCAGCAGCTGGCTGGATTAAATACGGACAGATATTATTCATGTCATTTGACAGTTCCTGACTTTCAGCTGTATAATGACAGAGCAACAGTAGGAATTCCAGCAGCCCAGCTTCTGTCTTACTTCAAGATAAGCTTATCAAGCGTAGCCTGAATCCATTCAGCTCCTCAGCAGATCAGAACTCGTGTCAGGCTGAATGCTGTGCTGATTCCTGCTGCCTGCCCTGCTCTGCAGTCCCTGAGGGCTGGCCTTTGCAGGGTTCTTAGCAGACACTGTGCCCTGGGTGTGCTCAGCCCTGGCCAGGGCAGCCCTGCATCCTCCTGGTGCCCCTGGGACAGGGCATGGCCAGCCCTGCTGGGGTTTGCTCTCCTTGTTTGGTTTTTAAAGGTGCAAACCTCATCCTGAGGCTGCTCCTGGGCTGGTCATGCCAGAGATTCAGAGGGATCTCAGGACAGGGCAGGAATCGCAGCTGTCACTGCACACTCAGTGGTTTAGGGTTAAGAATTGACCAAATCTCTGGAATTTTCTTTGTGTGTGCCCCCCAGATTGCAGCACTTTCCAAACTTGTGGGATTTGGTGTCAGGGGAGAATCATGGGTTCAGAGAACTTTTGAGAGGTGAATGTTCAATTTAAAAAAGAAAAAGTTGTGGAAGGAAATTCAGTGGGTTTGATCATAGAGGATTTGATCAGCCAGAGTTTGATCTTACAGGAGCTGGAAACTCCTCCAGGCTGGGATTATCATTGTGGCTCTGCCTGTACAATGAAGAGCATAAAACATATAAAAATGTACAAATGTTGGCACTGGCTGTGGCCACAGGCCAGTGTCCAGCCCTTGCCCCCTCACTGCTGTGCCCAGTGTCCCGCTCCAGCTGGCAGATCACGGACACCAAACAAAGTCAATCATTCCAGACTTGTCCAGAATATTTTCAAATCATTTGTGTTTATTAAATCAATGGTGGTTTGGTTTTTCTACTCTGGATGTAGTCACTTTTTGAGGAGCAGCAAACCAGAAAAATGGAAGATATGGAAGTTTTGCAGTTTCTTATCGGTGGGAAACTCTTTGCTGCTTGACTTTTCCCTGGAATATGTTGGTAGAAATATGAGTTTGTGTTTCAGAATTAAAAATGCATGCCTCAACACTCATAATTATATTTACAATTAAAAACAATGTAATTGGAAATAGAACTTTTTTTTTGTTGGCTGAATGCACAAAATTTGAGTTGTGGAGAAAATGTCGTTTTAAGCTGTGCTTTCTTCCCCACAATTTAGGAGCATTTAAGCTTCATGTCTGACACACATTAGGAAATTAGGGGCTAATGAAGTCCACATGGGGCTGAAAGGCTGCTGGGTCCCTCCCGAAATTCCCTTCTGCACAGCACAGCCCCAAAGGTGGCACACAACAGGACACAAACCCACCCGTGCCATGGTTCCCGTAAGGATTTCAATTCTTCCAGAGCCGAAAAGCCAAGCTTTAAATGGAAATGCAGACGGGGAGGGGGCACGTGGCACGGAGTAATTGAGAATTCCCTGCCCTGCCAGGCAGGGTTAATGGGCAGTGCCCTGCAGAAATCCGGCTCCCGCGAATCCTGCAAATGTCACAGCGCTACAAAACAAGGCGCTGATCCAGGTCCTCGTGGTGCTAAGTGGAGGCTGCAGGGCAGCTCTGAACCCAAACGCATAATTTGTAGACACAGGATGTCATTTACCATTGCTTACCTCTCATTAAAACTAATCAGAGCAGCTTTCTGGCAAAAATTGATTTTTAATTGGAAAAGTTACATCTGTGAACTTGTTTTCCCCTGAAAAGCTTGGACAATGTCCTTGTCTGCTGAGAGCTCCAAGAGCTCTGAATGACCTTTTTTCCCTTCAGATTTTGGCCAAAACTAGCATTACAAATATTTGTTTGTATGCTTTGCAGGATGATTTTAGTCAGAAAAGTTATTTTCCATCAAAAAAAGAAAAACTGAGGGGATGTTTTCACCTGCCAGCATGGGAAGCACATGGATGCAAGCAGGAGGGCAGGACCCTACAATGGCTTCCACACGTCTCAGGTACCTTTCACCAGACTGTCACTGGCAGCACAAGGTGCAGCAATGTCACTTTTAATTAAAACCTTTTGTTTTACCTGCACACAGAGCAGCTGCAGCATCCCCAGCACGGACAAGGCCAAGGCTGAGGAGTGGAAAAGGAGACACTGGGCATGGGAAGCCACACAAAGCTGGTTTGTGCCAGAAATGCCAGAAAGGGCTGATGTGTGTCACTGTCCCTGCTTTACCCATCCCAGCAAGCAGGGTGAGAATTCCCTCGGAAGCACAAGGGTCCAAGGAGAGTGGGGACAAGGACCTGGAGTGGCAGCTGCAGCACAGGAGAAGGTTTGGTCCAGCCTGGCACTGCCAGCTCCCCTCTCCTCCCTTCCCAAAAACACTCACCTGCAAGGAGGGCGAGGCTGATAATTAGATAATAACTCTCAGGTTGTTTTAAACAGAACAACTGCTGTGCAAGGAGGATTTATTTCTTCGTTTTGCTGAGATATTTTTCCCCTTTGTGAGCGCTCCCAGAAATATCCTTGCAGGATGTGCCTCTCATTTTCCCGAGGATTTTCTGAAGACCCCAGGGAACAGAACTCTATTAGCTGAAGTCACCTTTCTGTCACAAGAGCCAGGCAGGAGACACAAAGGACCTCTGGAACTTAAACTTCTTTGGTGTTCTGCTCAACGCAGCTGAGCAAGAATTTCTGCTGGCACCGAAGTTCTCACAGCTAGGCTGTGCTATTTAAAACGGGATTTCATCCTAATGAGCCTAAAATAAAACTGTGTGTGTGGAAGGAGATCTCAAAGCATCCTCAGTCGGAGCAGGGGCTCGGGAGAAGGAGGAAAAAGCCAAAGCCAACCAAAGAGCACCCTCTCCTGGCCACGGCTCCGAGCGCTCCTCCTGCACGCCCGATCCTCGGGGACACGGTGAGCTGCCCTAGAGAACGCTCCCATCCATCCCCACGGAAAACACTGAAACATCCACCCGCTCTGATTTTTCCTCTGTGTTTTCTTTTAAATCACGATGAATTACCAGAAGCAGGGGCTCCGTTTGCTGTAAAGGGAGGTGTTAATTATGAAAGGTTCATTTTCAGCATGGTTTGATCGTTTACTGGAAGATCTTTCAGGTGGGTCACTCAGCACATCGAGGTTAATCATTTTCTGTATCCAGCAGATGCTGCATTTTGACCCTTTTCCAAGATTATTATAATAAGATGGTTTTCCCACTATAGAAAAATTACTTGTGGAGATACACTTTACTTTGTAGTGCTTTAAGAGAAAATATCTTTTATTTATTTGATATTCTGCCTTCTCCAGGAAGATGCTCTTCTGTTTCTGCCTCTTGACCAAATACATTTGATGGTGAAGTTTTCAATTCACATTTAAAATCTGCTCTCCATGAATACCCTGCCATGTTCTCTGAAATTCACAGATGAATGAATTTTTGCAGGATTCCTGGAAAGCAAACACCTCTGACCACGGGGAATATTAGCCTGATAAAGATTTAATTGTAAAATGACAATGAGCAGCAGTTGAAGTTCAGATAGTATTTCCCTGGCTGTCATTTCTGCGTGCAGACATTATTCTAATAGCAAACCCTCTCATCTTTGTTACCCTTTTCATGATCTTTTCAGTGCCTGAAAAAGTCAAGTACCAATATCTTGTGACACGAACACAAAGCAGAAGCCTTTTTTCCAGAAGGATTATTTTTTTTTTTGGTAGTGGGTGATACAGAGTTCACAAATAGCAGCACTGTGATACTAAACCAAAATTATTGCTGTTGTTATTATTATTATTATTTGTTCACAGCAAGACAGACTAAGCTAAATACCTGCTAACTAAGGACCAGTAAATCAAATTTTTTTAGCTGGAATATCCCAGCATGCTCTGTACAACAGCAAAGCTCAAATTAATTTCTGATTAAGAATATGTGCAGTCACACTAGTTCTCTGTGCCATATCTGAGTAAATTAAAATCTGCACACAAGAAAGTGTCTCCTATATTTTGTTCATCATTTTAACATTATCGAATGTCATCCAGAATAGGATAAATAGAGATTCAGCTCCTGCTCACCTGGACAATCCCACTGAACTGAGAACAGGACTTCCCTTCCTGTAGCTGCAGTGCTGTGGGAGGTGGTATTTAATAACTGATGGATAATTAGGGAGTACAAACAGAATTCTCTTTTTCTCTACCAGCACCTCATTCAGTGAGGGACTCCTGTCAGTTAGAAGCTGGAGAGGGCTGGAAATGAGAAGTGCTGCTGTCCCTGCAGTGAAACACCCATCTGTGACCCCAAAAGGGTTTCTGTGCCTCATTGACAGGCACTGCTTGTCCCAGAGCTCTGCAGCCTTCTGGAAGCACAGACCTCGTGAAGGAGGGCGAGATTTATAGAGCACAACTGAAGGCAGAAGATTATTTTTTGTAAGCTTGGGAGTGCATGGATTAATAAATCCTGCTTGTCCCAGCTCTTAGGAATTCCATTCTGTCTAAATTTCAGTTTGGTTTTCTGCTTTCCCCCCCAGTAGAGCCGAAGCTGGGAGCAGCATCACTCAAAGGCTCGTTAGTTTGATGAAGTGGCAAAAGTGCCTCCAGCTCCCCTGGGTACTCCCAGCTCCGAAGCATTTACACATCCCAAGGGGATTCTGAAAAACACCACCAAGCCTTTAGGTACTGAATCACAGGCAACTATTTTGAATCTTTAATTTTTTTTTCTATATTCTATTCTATGAGGATGTCAGAACTAAAATATGGAATATGCTTTTCCCACTTGGTTCCTATTACTTGTAAAGCATTCAAAAGCTTCCAGAATAAAATTACCTCTATGCCCTGCCAGGGAGCAGGCAGAGCTCCACGGAGTATCAAGGGAGTCCCTCTGCTGGTGTTGCTTTCCATTTTTAACCCAAATATAATCATAAAAATGACTAAATGTGAGACGGGAGCTGTACAGCCTTAGATTCAGCATTTATTTGTTATCATGTTCATCCCTGTGGAGTTTTACTGTGCTTTTATATTTATACAAAAAGTGCTGAAATATATTCCATAAATTAAGGAGTTCATTTGCAGGTGTGACATATTCATCATCACCACCATCATCATCATCATCATGTGAGTTTGTTTTCAAACTTTGCTCATATGAGAGCAGCCAATTTGCATTTAGAAAAAAAATTATTTGAGAGAGAAATGCAAAGAGATAAGAGATGCAGGAAGCTGAATTCTGTTCTGAAATGATATCCCTTACTTCTCTATCCCAACTGCACATTTTCCATGGGGGGAAAGGCACTGAGGCACATTTAACCCCATAAATGCCTGACATTTCCCCTGGGTGGATTTGGGCCTGAGTCCTGACAGCGAAAAATTAAACAACTCAACAAAAAATACATTTGTACTTTGTTCCAGTATTCGTTTGAGGCTTAATCACAGTTGTCAATGTGCCATTGCAGTGAATAACATTTTCATATTGAGTTATTTTACAGTTCCTACAGCAGTAAGGAATATCTTAGGGTACTAACTGATTGTTTTGGCTTTATTTATTGTACAGGAAAGCAATGACATTGAAAATATTGTATAAACAGCAAATACACTGAGCAGCAAAATCCCTACCCTGCATTATGAATTGAAATGACATTATTTTAAAACATTTGAAAAAAATCATCATAATTATATGTTCTCAACACAGAGACAAATTACCTATTATTTTAACATAATTAATTTGAGCTCAGAGCATTTCTGTTGCTGTGTGTGTCATTATCCATCAAAATGCTAAAAATTGGGGGTTGAATCTTTAAGTTTTTTCCTCCACATCTGTAATTTGTTTGTTTCCACCTTCAATACCTTTAAGTTTTCATTACAGTTGGCATTTCAGTTTGTTGTCTGTCCCCTAGGTCACATTTCCAAGCTCACTTGGGATGCTCCTGCACCAGGGCCTTCAGGAGAGAGCTCTCCCTTTTCAGTGACCTCAGGTTTGTAACCAAGTTTCTGCTCTTTCCCTAGGATACAGATGGGTTTGGAGGGGTTTTTGCATCTTATTGGTATATCCTGATCATTTATTCATTTATACTGCTGGTTAATGCCTTTTTCTCTTTCAAACACCCCTCCCTATGTGGAAGGCAAAGGGAACAATGAATGGTGTTGCATTTCAAGGACCAGGGTTTGTTCTCCTGGCTGCCTGAGCAGGTACCTCTCTTCCCCACACCTGCACAGGTCTGGGCTGTGTTTTCTGAGCTCAGGGTGGGATCCTGTGTGGTCTGGGATGACAGGAGATGGATGGAAGCTCTGCACAAAGGCAAAATCCACCCATTTCTTGTTGTCCTGTCTGCAGGAGAGCGCTGAGGCCACAGCTGTCCAAGCTGTGAGGGAAGGCCTGTCTGCGAGGCTCTGACGAGCTCTGACTTTTCCATGCCTCTGATTTCCTTCTCCCTTGTCCCTCATGATTGGCATTTGTCGTTTCTGGGCCTTGTTTGCTTGCACTGCACTTGTGGGGAGCCCTGAGCAGTGCAGTATTTTCATGTCAGCGGGGTTAAGGGTGAGGAACATTACACATGCACACTGATTTATGCCTCAGAGGCTGCAAATCGTGTCAAGTGTGATCTCAGCACAGCTCTGCTCCATGACTCAAGCGCTCAGTGCACTCTCAGACATCAATCCTCAGCCAGGCAAGGGAGAGCTCCTGCAGAGCATCCACAAAGTCCTGGGCTGGGAGAGTTATTAGTTATTCATAAGATAATAATGGTGCTTGCAATGTTTGTGCCAAAGCCAGAATCCCATCATCACTGAGGTTGGAAACAACCTCCAAACTGTTCCCAGTGCCCATTCTGTCCCAGCCCAGAGCACTCAGTGCCACCTCCAGGAATTCCCTGAATTCCTCCAGGGATGGGCACCCCAACCCTCCCTGGGCAGCCCCTTCCTGACCACCCTTTCCAATAACAAATTCCTCCTGATGTTCACCCCTGGCACAACTTCTTATTCCGGTCCTTCCATAATTCTATTTTGCCAGGCCATATATCGGAGGCCCCCGTGGGCAGCTATGGGTCTGAAACCTGCTGTTCTCTGCAGCAGTTTCAAGCTCTGAGTTGTGTTAGAGTCGGTGCCAGTGATCAGTTTTTCTTCTTCTGACCATCCCTGTAGAACAGAGCTCAGAGAGAGGGATCTGACAGTCACAATTCCCTCGGCACACCAAAGGCCTTGACCCTCAGGCGCCTGCCCAGCCACTGCTGCTTCTGCTGCTTGTGCCTCTTCCCCTCTGCTTTTAATCACGTGGAGCTGCCATGACCTGAAAAACCTTTCCCAGCACAGCCATTACCTAAATTCAGCAATCCCCACGAAAAGCATTAACTCGGCCCCACCTCACGTTCTCCCTGAAGGAAAAGAGCTGAGAATTCTCACATTTGCTGGGAAATTCCCGCGGTGGGAAGCACAGCACAGGGACGGAGCAGTGCGGTTTGCTCCTGAGCCAGCCTTTCTGCAGGACAGCAAGGAGGAGAGATGGAAAGGGTGCAGGGATTCCTCTTTGCCATGCCACAGCAGCTCAGCTCATCTGAGTTTGTGTACGTTAATTTAACACATCCCGTTAGTAGTGTCCTATTAACAACACAGCAAATAATGCACCAGCACAG